GAAGAATGGGCTGTATGGCATCAATTACTAGGTCTTTATATTCTTACAATATTGAAGTCAAAGTCTCTAAACCCTTAACTAGTGCTTCCACAATTACCCCTACTGCTAACAGTTTCTTTTACATCTTCACTTTCTGTCAGATTCTAAAATGAGATAAGTGAGTAACCAAATTATGCCTTATTTTATCATTGAATAATTTGGCACAATTTGACTCCACAATATATTGCTCCTAATATTAATATTTTGCTCATAGCTTTTGCCTTTGCAGATTTGAATGACTAATTAATTATAGGTATGATTGTTCAATTGGGTTGAAAAATACATACATTGTATTGTGGTATATTTCTTATCCAGAGCAGCCAATTCCTGGAAGACGGTCCTTTGTTTCTGTAGACATTACTCAAAGGCAGTGAGTATTGCTCAGATTTGAGGAAACTAATTTCTGCTCATTCAGAGAAAATAAGTAATAAGGACATAATCAATTAAAAAATAAGAATGAAATATTATAGAATTCTCAAGATGTTTCTTATACACCGAGAAAAATTAATATATTATGTAAATGTAGATTATCATCCAAAAAAAACCAAACCTAAAAATTTTTAGATAGACAAAGATTGTATGTGAGAAAACCATAGTTAAGGAGTTTACAAAAACCTCCTAATACTTCTCCTAGGCTCAGCATTCAGCAGCCTGAGAGCCAGGTTTCCTAGAAACTTTGGTTATATTTTATTACTTAGTCTCAAATGAGAATTTAAGTTAGAGTCATGGAAATGATTTTTTTGGCCTATGATCTTGGACAGAAGGTGTTACTATACAAATAAATAAAAAGAAAGAATAAAGTAACATCTTAGAGTCATTTATACAAGGCACAACTGCGGTGCAATACTCTAGAGATTTTCAGGCACGTTCTGGAGAGGCTCTTGGAACTTTCTGCTCAGGGATCTGATGATACAAAGGGAAAAACATTTCTTCATCAACTTCTATCTTTTACTGGTTAAAGTTGTGTAATTTCCTGCATTCTTTCAACTGTGTAATGGAATAAGAATAGGTGGAACCATTTGTTTTCCTGGTATGAACTTCGAGATACCTAAGTACACAGCCAAAGAAGTATTGTGAAAACTCTAGGGAAGATATTCATAATATGTTTGTAAACCTGCAATAATGTGCACCATGTCATCTATGGGAGTGTTCGACATGAAATAAAGTAGTATGAGACAAAGATTTTCATCTAGCTTCAAGACACAAAAGAGAACAAAAAATTATTAACAGTTTTAGACTGAAGAAAAGGAGGACTCAAAGGGGGTTTGAAGCTGGCCTGAGTTTGTACACCAAAGCCTAGTAAAAATGGAATTTTTGAAGTTATCTCCATTCTTTGTTCTTTCCTGAATTATTGTTTTCTAAATATATTTAATTATTGGTGTAATCAAGTCTTTTGTCTTCTTGCCATAATGGAAATTGTCTCATATGAATAGATGGAGTCAATTGCACCTATCTCATTATCCTCATGGAGAGAATTCACAATAAAATATATAAAAAAAGAAATACCAAAAGAAAAAAACTATGCGTAGGTAAAGAGTTTTAGGGAAGTTAAAAATTTATTTCAAAATAGTTTTGTAAACTATCATATTAAAGGATTGATTGGTAGGAAAACATTTGATGAAATCTTAAAATAAAATTTCAAGAAATCTTGAGTGATACTCTCCAACATATGATTACAAATGTCAGAGCATTCAGTTTTAAATTCAGTGCAATAGACACTTGGGCTGCCTCCATTTCCTGGCTATCATGAATAGCGCACAAATGAACATGGATAAAACTTATCTCAGTACGAGGATAGATATAAAGCACATACAGCACATACGATATGAAATACATAGGGCACATACCCAAGAGTAGTATAGCCGGGTTATATGGTAGGCAGGTCTATTTCTAACTTTTCAAGGAACATCTGTAGCGACTTCCACAGTAGTTGCACCAGTTTGCAATTCTAACAACAGTACATAAGTGTTACCTTTGCACCTGAATCATGTCAGCATTATTGACATGTTTTAAAAATCTTAGCATTTCTGAGTGATATAAGCAGAAACTTCAAAATAGTTCTAATTTGAATTTCTCTCATGGCTAAGGATGTTGAAAAGTTTTAAATACTTTGCTTAACCATAAAAATTCTCCTGTTGAGACACTTTATTTACTTCCATTCTGCATCTTTTATTTTGTTTTTGTTTCCTTGGTACTTTTTGTTCTTCTTCTTCTTTGCATATTTTTAATACTACCCCTCTGTCTGATGTACAGTTAGGAAAGACGTTCACTCTAGTCTGTCTCTTCTTTGAAACAATGGTTCTTTTGAAGGGCAGAAGTTTTTTTATTTAGTTTTAGGAGTTTCTATTAGGAAATTGTTGGTCGTCATAACTGCACTACTGGTGTACTGTCGAGATTAAGTCCTAAACTGAAACATAGCTCCTACTTTCTCCACTAACATCCAAGGGCTCAAGTCTTAGGTTGGATGATTCACTTAGAGCTGAGTTAGTCTTTGAGAAGGATGAGAGGTAAAGTTCTAATTTCATTCTACTACCTACAGCTTTCAAGTTTTATCGGTGTTATTTTTTTGAAGATGCTATCTTTTCTCCAACGTGTATTTTTAACCTATTTTTGGGATAGTGGGCTTATATCTAGGTTTTTAATTGTATTTCAGTGATCAGTTTTCACAACTGAGATCAGACCAATCCATGAACATGGGAGGTCTTTCCATAGTCAAGTATCTTCTTTAATTATTTTACTCAGCGTTGTAGAGTTTTTGTTGCACAAAACTTTTTTTTTTTTTTTGGATTTTTCGAGAAAGGGTTTCTCCGTAGCTTTTGGTTCCTGTCCTGGAGCTAGCTCTTGTAGACCAGGCTGGCCTCAAACTCACAGAGATCCGCCTGCCTCTGCCTCCCGAGTGCTGGGATTAAAGGCGTGTGCCACCAACGCCTGGCTGTTGCACAAAACTTTTATATTTTATGTTAGTTTTTCACAGGATTAAAAAAAAATCTTCTAGGATCATTGTCAGGATTTTTTTTTGTAAGTTCATCCACTGATGAATGGGTCATGAAAATATGGTACACTTATACAATAAAATATTATTAAGAAAAATGAAAATGCAAAATTGGTATATAAATGAATGAAGCTGGAAACAATCATTCTGAGAGAGGGAATAGAAAGCCTGAAAGACAAACACTCATGTTTGCATTGAATCTTTAGAAATGTGTGTTTGAATTAGAATACTTAAATAAGTTAGAAAAACAGTAAAGGTCAATCAGGAATGCTTCTAAAAGAGAGGTAGTATAATTCAGATGGTAATAAAGTAAAATGGGGATATTGGAGAAAGAAGTATTAAGAGGAGTGATGGGCAGGAGGATAAGGAAGAAGGGGATGTGGGAAGAGATAGCTAAAGCTAAAGACTTTTTAAAAGCCAAATAGAAATCAACTACTGTAGAAGGTACACACACACACACACACACAAACACACACACAGTTTACATACAACAGGGATTCAATGCCCCTGCTAGACAGCATAGGCTATCATATATAGCTCAGTGACAGGAAAGTGTTACCTCTTTCAGAGCTGTTGGTGAGCAGACACCCTGGAGCCCCAAACATTAAAGGTTAATTGTCATTGTTCCTGGTTATCCTCAAGACCTTGATGATGAGACTATATTGCTAAAGACAGTACATACTTGAGTCAAAGATCATGAAACAATCATGTTTCTGACATGAAGCTTAAACTTTAGTGTCTTGTTTTCAAAGACCTCGAAAGTGACATCCATGTGCTCTCCACCAACTATACGTTTTATTTTCAAAATTGCACAGAGAAGATTTGATATATTTAGTCTTCATCAATGTTCTTCTTTCTCTAGAATCTCTCAAAAGAGAGGGCCCAGGAAAAAGATAAATGGCCTGAACACCTATGCAGACTCAAGGTGTTTACATAGTAGCAGAAGAGGGAAACTGGGTTAAATTGGTCTGTAAAAGGCTCCTAGAAATCGTTTTATATCTTCTAGGCTCAGTCGCTATCTCATAGCAATCCCTGAGGAGCAAGTTCTGCATAAACCTTAGTCGAAAGATCCATATTCAGTTAAATGTCTGTAACTTAAGGTATAAGAAGTGGAATCCCACTGCTGAACAGACAAGAATCCAGGGCTACCTTAAGCAGCTTGTCAGATGTACTGGATTTCAAATTTATTTAATCCTATCAACTACTGGCCATTTACCCTCTTAACCCCCTTCTAATAGTGCAAAACTTAACACTTGTGAGCTACCTCAGCTTCTCCCTTACTACCCCAGTCTTTCTCTACCTACGTTCACTGTTATTCAGTTTTTCTTTTTCTTTTCTTTTCATCCTCAACCCCCTTCTCTCTTTTTCTCTATGTGTGCTTGTCCCTCTTTACTAGAGGAGGAAAATCACACAAAAGGATAGTAAGGAGTGAAAAACATGGGATATGTTTGAAAGTTTTAGAAACGATGGTGGTGGTAATAGGGTTAATCTTTAATAGGTTCCAGTCAAGCCCAATGTGATGCTACCAATTTGTGAACAAAAACCTAAGTTGCTTTTGCTCCATACCACCTGAAGAAAAATAGTTCCTCAAAAAAATTCCAGTGGGAAAAAAAAACACACACACACACACAATAAGTACGTCATGAGGAAAAAGAACATGATAAAATGATCTTTGGTGTCCAACAATCACAGCACTTAGGACACAGCGGTAGCTGACGGCCTTTTGCTCTAACAATGAAGTTACAACAGCCATAAATATACCTTGAGGAAACTATTCATAAGTAGCTGCTATTACAGAGAAACTTGCGAGTAGCACATTTTTAAAGGACAGAACACACACAGGACAAGGAAGACCATATTGGGTACCACACCTATTGCTGAGAGTATATAAACCCAGCTCTCTACAGGGCGACATCCAAACTCAGAGTCTTCTCAGTCGCATCCAGCTGAGCTCACATCTCCGCTCAACATGGCCGACAGCTGCTGCTCTGGAAACTTTTCTACCTCCTGTAGGTGCAGCCTGCCCACCTCAGGTTCATCCTGTGACTCTCCTTGGCCCAGCAATCTGGTCTACAACACCACCAGCTGCTCATCCAGCACCTGCCAGCTGCACAGTGACTGTCAGGAGAGCTGCATTGAGCCCACCAGCTGCCAGAGGTCCTGCATGGTGTCCAGCCCCTGCCAGGTGGAATCCTCTGTGAACACCGGCTGTCAGAAAACCTGCATTGAGCCCACCAGCTGCCAGAGGTCCTGTGTGGTGTACAGACCCTGCCAGACAGCCTGCTATTACCCAAGGAGCTCCACACCCTGCAGTCCCTGTGAGGGGACATACGCTGGGTCTCTGAGTTGTGGGTCCAGCAACTTCCATCCTCTGGGCTATGAATCTAGAAGCTTCTTCTCAGGGGACTGTGGTCCCAGGGACTTCAGATCTCTGAATTATGAAATCCCTGTATTTCCTTTCTTGAGTGATGTGTCCACATTCTGTTACCCAACATACTTGCTTTTTAATACCTACCAGCCTTCATTTTGTGTTCCAACTTGTGGGCCACGTCTCTCTGGAGTCAGCTGTTAGCTCTGTATGTTCTACAGTATTGTGGTCAATGTCTCTATCCTATACTCATTTTTCATGCTTATCACTTACATCTTTCCTCTCTTTCTTCTAATAGGAACTTCTCAACTTCTAGTAGAACCTGGGATGGGTGTATAATCACAGTTATACTTTACCGACAGTAATGCTGTTATATACTGTGCTGTTTAGTTGTTGTCCTACAGTATATGAAAGTGAAAACTTATTATAATAAACTTGTGCAACCTGACACCTCAGTATATTGCTCACATTATTATTATTCTTGTTGTTACTATTAATTATATTTTCTTTTACAGATTTGTCACACTAAATTATATATTATGATTCTGTGGTTAGATCTTAGGAACAAATAACTTGGTATATTTTTGTGACCCTTGTTTGGAGTAGTTAATTCTAGGAAGACTTCCATTTTTGTCTGCACACTAGGCACGTTGACAAGGGAACTGTGTGAGATTTAGGGACTACATTTCTGCTGATTAATGAAACAAAGTAATTAAGCCGATGTCTATATAGAGAAAATAATTGCCTAAATCTAGTATTTAAATGTAAATTATCAGCCAGGGTTAACAGTGAGTCTAAAATAACTCTCAGGACTGACACTTTGCTTTTATATAAATGCTGGTTTCCATGCCCCCACAGTTGGGGAATATCTAATCTCCACATGTACATAAGGACAATCACAGTGATCCGGCATCAGGCTGTACTGGCAATCCCTTGGTGCTACTCCCAGGTGCAATGTCAATCAACCTGAGTGATATATCTAAGCAATATTGAGCAGCTTTTATTCACTAGTGTTAGCCAGATTTTAAAAGAATGCACATCAATGTCTTGGGTATAGTTTGTTTTGCATTGGGTTGTAGAAAGCATTATCACAGGTTCTATGGTATTTTAAGGAAAGGAAAACATTAAATGGGGAAAAATCTCTAGTAGGAAAGGGGATATTTTACAGGAAAATAAACAGGATGCAAAATTCCAGGGACTTTCAGAGGTGTTTAGAAAGACTTTCAGAAAAGTACACCCCAGTGTCTGATTCCGAGGTAAAATCATTTCTTCATTGGAGTCTCTCTTTAGTTGGTAAAATCATATAATTTTCTAGCTTCTCATAACTGTGTGAAGAAAGAATGACAGTGGGGTCCTTCTATCAGTCTAGGATGATGTTTGAGATACAAATACAGAGCCAGAAATATATTGCTTATAATACAGGAAATTCATTGTTTAAGGAAGGAACTTGAATCCACCATTAGTGGTGTGTGCCGTAGCCTTCCCTCGGATCACCCATGGCAGAATGTTCTAAGGAAGGAGGTAATATGAGACTAATAATTTAATGTCTAGACACAAGTCAGAGACTAAAATTATTAACTTTTGTTAAGACAGGAAGGCGGGGGGACTCAAAAAATATTTGAAACTTGCTAAGGTCTACATAGCAGTGCCCAGTAGACCATTGTTGTAGTTAGGAGTGGCGGGCTGCGTCCCCGGCACCCGGCTGCCCGCATGGTTAGCTTTACCCAAAATAATTACACACAGACTGTATTCATTTAAACAATGTTTGGCCCATTTCTATCTAGCCTCTTCTAGGCTAATTCTCACATATTAATTTAGCCCATTTCTAATCATCTGTGTAGCCCACGAGCTGGCTTACCAGGAATGATCTTAACCTGTGTCTGTCTTGAGTGGGAGAATCATGGCGACTCCTTGACTCAGCTTCTTTCTCCCAGCATTCTGTTCTGTTTACTCCACCCACCTATGTTTTAACCTATGAGGGTCAAGCAGTTTCTTTATTGCTTAACCAATGAAATCAACAGATTGATATATGACACTCCCACATCACTTCCCCTTTTTCTGTTTAAACAAAAAAGGAAGGCTTTAACTTTAACATAGCAAAATTACATATAGCAAAACAGTTATCAAACAAGAATTACAGTTACAATATTTATATCTATTTTATCTTTTATCATAACTAAGGAAAACTATAACTATCCATTCATTCTTCAACTCCTTCAAAGACTCTAGAAGGATATAATACTACCTAAGTAAAAAAGAAATAAGAAAACTCTAGAAATGACAGAAACATCTCGCTGCCTGGACAGTCACCCAAAGTTCTTTTGTACCGTTGGGGCATCCATCTTCAGCCTTCAGGCCCATAGTATCCAGCAGACATTTTCATCAAGCAGGAAATTCCAAAGACAGTTCAGTCACTTTCTGCTGTGTCCTGCAGAATATCTCGCAGACTCTTTCATGAGTCAGGAACCCAGAAAGACTATCTCACCTTTAGGCAAGTTCAGCAGTCCTCTCTCTGCGGGTTCTCTGTGTCCAGTTTATGCAACAGTCCAGGCAAGAAGTTTCTTGCCCAAATGGCTATCAAACTCCATAAGGATCCTCTTCGATACCCATCTTCTTCTTGAAGTAGATTGGTGCTGCCAGGAGCAGAGTGTCTCATTGTCATGAAAAGTCCTAAGTTATTAAAACATTAAACGCCATATTCTGCAGTCTTTGAAAGATATGAAGAATGTCTATCTAACTGAAATGTATCTCTATATATCTAGAAAATCTAACTAACATGACTACAAGCTTTACTATTATCGATAATTATCCATTAGCAACCTATATTTCCTATTATACATTACATTTTAAATGAACTACACAATCACAATACCTTAATCAAGATCAGAAACACATATACATATAACAAAATTGACCTTAAAATCCATACCAATGCAAATTATTCATATCTATATCATTTCCCCCTTTAAATGTAAAAGAATATTTATAAACAATATTTAGGGAACATGGGCGCAGTTTTTTCTCTCCAAACTGCTTCCTGCTGAATGGGGGCATCGTTAATTAGGTCTTTCATGGTATAACCTGTGTGCTAGTTTCATCTCAGTCGGCAGTTGAGCGAAGCAATTTTCTGAGGGTGTTCACAACAACCTCTCAGGAGGGCATGGTCTATCATACCAAATTGGAATAGAAGAAATCCACAGGATCTGGTCCTCTGTGAAAACAAAAGAAGACCCTCTTCAAAACATCATATTCTTAGACCCAAATTTTGAAGTCATACCCTCATGATATCCATTCTGGTTACACTTGGCAGTCCATGTAATACTCTGTCGTAGTTAGGAGTGGCGGGCTGCGTCCCCGGCACCCGGCTGCCCACATGGTTAGCTTTACCCAAAATAATTACACACAAACTGTATTCATTTAAACAATGCTTGGCCCATTTCTATCTAGCCTCTTCTATGCTAATTCTCACATATTAATTTAGCCCATTTCTAATCATCTGTGTAGTCCACGAGCTGGCTTACCAGGAATGATCTTAACCTGTGTCTGTCTTGAGTGGGAGAATCATGGCGACTCCTCGACTCAGCTTCTTTCTCCCAGCATTCTGTTCTGTTTACTCCACCCACCTATGTTTTAACCTATGAGGGTCAAGCAGTTTCTTTATTGCTTAACCAATGAAATCAACAGATAGATATATGACACTCCCACATCAGACCATGAATTTTTAAAGCAGTGTTGGTTATTGGTTTTTTTCTTGAATAACTTTTAAAAAATTTACAGCTCTAAGTGTAATCAAGAAGTGTTTTATATTTCCATTAAAAATCACTTCATACAGCCGTTCATTTAATCTAGTGCATTTATCTCATTACTCTTAAGTAAAAGGCCCATAATAAGAATAAAAATAAAATTTTTGATTTAGAAAAAGATCTATATGTGACTTAAACTAATTTGTTTCAGAAAAAAAATTTCCTTAGTTATTATCTATTATTATATATAATGACTGAATGACAAGAAAACAGTTGACATCTTAGCAAGAAATACCTCGTAAACTTCAGCAGTACTACGACATGTCTTCTTCACTTACACTATTATTATTGTCTTTATCACTCAGGTTTTATCAACAGTATGACAAATAGCACCTGTTCTTTTCAATAAAATTGAACATGAAGGAAAAAATAAATATACTAAGTAGGAATATATATTTGATGATTATTTTGGTTATGTTAACATATGTTATTTTGATATATTCATTATATTATTATAGTACATTTACAAATAAATTTTATTTTCAACTCAATTGCACTATTCCAGCAAAGATCAATTTTAAAACAATGTTAAAAATTATATTCAATATAATCCACAAATTTTGTTTTCATTAGTAGCTTTAAAGGGCAGGCTTCACATGGTTACCAACACTTTGCATGTATGTTACATTGGATTTTTATTCAGAAAGAAATGTGGAAAATGGGTGGAGCCTTAAAACGTTATTCTGGGCCTGGGTGGGTGGTGCAGGCCTTTAATCTCAGAACTTGCGAGACAGAGGCAGAAGGATTTCTGTGAGTTTGAGGCCAGCCTGGTCTACAAGAGCTAGTTCTAGGACAGGCTCTAAAACTACAGAGAAACCTTGTCTCGACAAAAAAAAAGTTATTTGGAATGAGGCAATCCAGCACAGAAAAACAAACATCTCATGCTCTCAGTCATTGGGCCTTAGTGTTGGATCTTTAGATTTGTGTGTTTGATTTAGTGCATCTGCGGAGTTCAGCAAACTAGAAAGGGACCAATAATGGGAAGAGGGAAGAATCATACCAAAGGAGGAATCAAAGTAGAACACAGGTGACAGGAAACAAAGAAAAGAATAATGGGAAAGGATTAAAGGGAAGAGGGCTTGAGGGGGCATAGAAAAGGGTTGAGCAAAGGATAGGTAATTCTAAAGATGTTTTATGGAAACTTCCTTTTGTGCTATACATCTTTATCCCTGTAGTGCTATTTTGTTTGTGTTCTGATGAATAAAGCTTGCCATAGTGGTATGATGGTCTGTATAGACAGAGAGGATGTAATAAGGCTGGGTGGAAACAGGAGATTGACCCTTTTCTGTCTGAGGAGTCAGAGAAGTAAGAGGTGACTGTGGCTGGTTATTCACTTCTCTGATCTCTCAGTTTTTATCCTGATGTCTGACTCTGGGGTTTTATTGTTAAGGCTAATTAGGA